TGGGGGGCGTCTGGCGCCCTCCGGGCACGCCGGCGTCGAGTGGCTGTCGTGGGTGTGGGTTTTCGTAAGGAGAGAGCATGTCCTGGGGCGCGGAGCCACCCGACGGGCCGAACCAATTTTGGTTCACGTTGACGGTTGCTTGTTCTTTTTCGGACCCAGCTGGGGGGCGTCTGGCGCCCTCACGGCACGCCGGCGTCGAGGGGCTGTCGTAGGTGTGGGTTTTCGTAAGGAGAGAGCATGTCCCGGGGCGCGGAGCCACCCAACGGGCCGAACCAATTTTTGGTTCACGTTGACGGCTTCGTTTTTGAGAGCGTGACCACCTCGAACGGTTCACGTTGGCAAGGATAGCCCACAACGAACGCAAATCACTTCTAGTCGGCGCCTGGACATGCCGGAAGTCTGCGGGGCAGCCGCGGCGCAAGCGATGCACACGCGGGTCGCTCGGTTGCGTTGGCGGACTGCGAAGTCCAGCCGCGGGACGTCTTGGTCGCAGCGAGTGCAATGCAACGTGTCTGCGCTGGGACGTCCGCGAGATGCTGGCCTCTTGCGCACGGCGGGGGAGTCAGTATCACCCGCGCACGTTGCTGGAAGTGCAGGACGCAAGTCTATGAAGCCAGTGATGGAGGCACCTGCAGCAGCAGCGAACAGGATAATTATGTGAGGAACTGCGGCGATTTGTGGAAGTCGTCCGCCATGATCTCAATCGGCGTATGGCGAGGCGGAACATCAGCGGAGTCCTGGGGGTCAAAGGCTACGGAACATCAACCGCAGCCTGGCGCGTCCGAAGTGTATACGTCGTCTCTGTTCGTGGAGGCCTCATGGATGGCTTCTCGCGGACGGACTGGGGGACTGTTGGGGCCTCTTGGGGGCCGCCTGGGGCTGCGTTCGAGCCTTCTGGGGGGTATCCTGGAGCCGAGGGGCCGAGATGTCGGGTCGGATCCTGTCGTGGAGCCTTTTTGGGGCCGTCTTGAGGGTCTCCGGGGCCGTCTTGGGAGTCTCTTGCACCGTCTTGGGCCGTCTTGGGGCCGTGTCGGGCGAGTTGGAGGCCTCTTGGGTCGTCTTGTGACGAACTGGGGCATCTTAGAGCCATCTGTGGGCGTCTTGGAAAGCTTCAGGGGCCGGTCGGACCAGCTTGGCGGTAATTTCAGGCATTCTCGGGGTTGTCTTGAGCCCGTCCGGGGGGGTGGCGAATTAGGTGACGCCCATCCGGGGGGGGGTCCCTCATCATTTGATTGGGAAAAGGAGAATAAATATATATATATATATATATATTATATATATATATATATATATGTGTGTGTGTGTGTGCGTACAGAGTATGTATGTATGAATGTATGCATGCATGCATGCATGCATGCATGTATGTATGTATGCATGTATGTATGTATGTATGTATGTATGTTTGTATACATACATGTATGTATGTATGTATGTATGTATGTATGTATGTATGTATGTATGTATGTATGTATGTATATATATATACGTATGTGAAAGAGCGTGTTATACCGCTGTTGGCGGAAAATACGGGGGGGGGGGGGTTCACTACTGGTTCGAGCCCCCCCCCCCTCCGGAAAATCGGGGAAGGGGGGTCACTGCCGGTTCGAACCCCTCCCCCCCCCCCCCAACTCATTATGAAAAGGGGGGGGGGGGGGGTCACTACCGGTTCGAGCCCCCTCCCCCCCCTTCCCCCTCTGAAAACCGGGGGGGGGTCACTACCGGTTCGAACCCTCTCCCCCACGCCCCTCGAAAACCTGTGCGGGGGGGGGTGCGGACAGTGGTGGAGACGGCGGTGGTGGGGACAGTAGTGAGGGGACAGCGGGACAGTGGTGGGGACAGTGGGACAGTGGTGGGGGCGGTAGTGGTGGGGACAGTGGTGAGGACAATGGTGGGAACATTGGGGACAGTGGGACAGTGGTGGGGACGGTAGTGGTGGGGACAGTGGTGTGGGGACACTGGGAATGTGTTGGAAACAGTGGGACAGTGGAGGGTACTGTGGTGGTGGGGACAGTGGTGAAGGCGGTGGCGAGGACGGCGGTGGGACAATGGGACAGAGGTACAGTGGGGACAGTGGTGGGGACAGTGGGGACAGGACAGTGGGTCCAGTGGGACAGTGGGGAGAGTGGATAGTCGGGCAGTCGTTGGGGTGGGGAACAGTTGGAACAGTGGTGGGGACAGTGGGGACAGTGCGACAGTGGTGGGGGCATTGGTGGGGACAGTAGGGAACGGTGGTGGAACCAGTGGGGACAGCGGTGGTGAGGACAGTGGTGCTGGGAACAACAGTGGGGGATGTGGCTGCGGACGGTGGTAGGGCCCGGGATCGTTTGCTGGCGGTGAGGGGGGGGTGGGGAGGGGTTCGAGCCGGTAGTGACCCCCCCCCTCCGCTTTTTCGAAGGGGGGGGGGGGTTCGAACCAGTAGTGACCCCCCCCAGTTTTCGAGGGGAAGGGGGGGGGGGGGGGGGGAGGGGTTAGGGGAGGGGGGGGGCGTGCTGGGGGAGGGGAGGGGGGGGGGGAGGTCCAGCAGGGGGGGGGGATTTTCGGATGGGGGGGGGGGGGGGGGGCCGGGTTTCTGGAGGAAGAAGGGTGGCAATTTTTCACAGTAAAGCTGCGGTGGATCACGCTCTCTCTCTCTCTCTCTCTCTCTCTCTCTCTCTCTTTCTCTCTCTTTCATATATATCTATATATATCTATATATATATATATATATATATAGCGACCTAAACACAGATGTCCGTGTGCCCACGCACGCTCCTCCAAAAGTACGCTGTATCTATTGCGAAGGCCTTACGGCCGGTGCCGCCAACCCTGAAGGGAGACGACGACGATGACGCTGACGTTGGCCAGAGTCCTCAGGGATGGTTCTTGGGGTCTCATCGGAAGAATCTCGGGGGCTTTTTGGGAGGAGTTTCAGGGCCTCTTGGGGTCCTCTTCGGGCTTCTAGGGACGGGTGTCCCGTCGGTGGCGCGGCGATGAGATCGATAGTGGGATCGATTGTGAAACCTACTGTGAGATCGATCGTGAGATATGTTATGAGATCGATCGTGAGATCGATGGTGACATCGCTTAGGAGAAAACTAGTGAGATCTGTTGTGAGATCGATAGTGAGATCGCTTGTGAGATCAATAGCGAGTCCGATTGTCAAGTCGATTGCGCTATCGATACTGAAATCGATGGTGCGATTTGTTGTGGGAGCAATCATGAGATCGATTGTGAGATCTGTTATGATATCTATTGTGAGATCGATCGCGACATCGGTTGTGAGATCGATGGTGAGACCGCTCTATAGTGGGATCGAAAGTGCGATCGATAGTGATATCGATTGTGGAATCGATTGTGAGATCGCTTGTGAAGCCGAGAGTGAGATCGATGGTGAGCTCGATTGTGAGATCAATCGTGGGACAGATAGTGAGATCTGTTGTGAGACCGATAGTGAGTCCGAATGAAATCGATAGTGAGTTCGATTGTCAGCTTGATGGTGAGATCGGTTGGGAGATCGATAGTGAGATCTGTTGTGAGATCGATCGTGTGACATCGCTTGTGATATGTATAGTGAGTTCGATCGTCAAATCGATAGCGGTCGTGAGATCGGTAGTGAGATTACTTGTGATATCGATCGTGAGATTTTTTGCGAGATCGAGAGCTTGATCGATGTGGGATCGATTGTGTGAGTCGTTGGTGCCCTCTCCCCCCCCCGAACCTCCATATCAACCGAAGGGTTCTCGTACAGGTATTTCTAGATTGGCCATCGGCGCAGAGTCTGTTTCTCTTTGGGTAGCTTCTGGAAGCATGTCAATGCACAAGCTCACGGCTTCATCGTTGTGCTGCCGCATGTGTTCTGGTGACGTCGGGCAGTGAGCTCATGGTCGAACGCGTGTAATCCGAGTTGGATCGAGCATGACGACGCGAGCGTTCCACGCCGAACCTTCAGCCGACCGGCCGACCTGCAACGACAGTTCGAATTACATCCTCGGTGCCCCCACGAGAATCAGGAGGGGAAAAAACACACAGACACAATTCATCGTCGATCCCCAGGAACATGGGAAAATATGGGAAGTGGGGGGGAAGACAGAACCCCAGAAAATATTGGAAGATATGGGGCATCATTTTATTTGTGTGTATTTATTTGTGTGTCCTGGGGCCCCTTGAAAGAAGTCTCCAGGGATGTGGTCGAAGAGACCGAATGGCCGCCTGTGCTCACCCGGGCCCGGCCGTACAGGGACGATCTGCGCCGGCGTCCCGTCCGCCCTCGAGAGGCGACGGGTCGTGGCGCTTGCCCTTCGGGTGGACCAAACACACCGCAAGCACTCGACGAGCATCAGGCTCCATCTCCTCTTCTTCCTCCTCTCCCTCCTCCTCCTCCTCCTCCTCCTCCTCCTCCTCTTCCTCCTCTTCATCCTTCTCCTTTTCCTCCTCCTTCTCCTCTTCCTCCTCCTTCTCCTCTTCCTCCTCCTCTCCCTCCTCCCTCCTCCCTCCTCCCTCCTCCCTCCTCCCTCCTCCGCGTCGCAGCCGCCCCCACGGGCTGCGGCCGTCTGCCCCGTGATCGTTCGGGTGGGAGCAGCAGTTGACACACGTGTCTCAAGGGGAAGCTCCCGACCGTACTCTCTTTAGTCAGCGGCCACGGGCGAGCGCGCCGGCGGCGAGTCAGGTCAGAGCGGGCTGCGCCGAGACGAATTGAGCGAAGGCAGCGGGGGCAAGCCACGTCCAGCGCAGCAGGCCGAGGCCTCGCGCGGCGGCCCAGCGGCGGGCGGGTGGCAGGGGTGACTGAGACTGCTCCCGACCATACGCGTGCGCAGGATTTCCCGCAACGCGACGGCTCAGAGGTCTGAAACAGACCAGTGGGGGCCGAAATTCGAAAATGGCGCTTGCCGTCGCCCTTTCCTTGCTCCGGAGGTCGGGTGAGGCCACTCTCTCGACCGCAGAGAGGGGTCTGCATGGCTTCCGCGGTCCTGGACGGCGGGGGCTATGTGCATCAATAGGATCGGCCGCCGGCCTACCTCCGTAGCCATTTTGGCTCAAGCTGTTTCAGCAGCGGGACCGGCGGGGTAGCGCAGCCGATAGCCATCATGGCGACGCTGGGCGCGGCCAGCGTGCTGCTTCCACCAAGGGTCGCTTGACCGCAGGTGGCCTTGATCTGCGACGTTGATGTTTCGGTTCGGTATCCTGGCGCTTCTGGCAGCACAAAATGCTGGACAGACCCTGATCATCAAGTACGCGCAACATCATGGAAGCCATCCTGACACGCTGGTCTTGATGGTGGTCGTTGAGCTAGGGAAGCTGGTCGTGTCAATGGTCCTGTTCTTCATGTTCGAGGCCGACGTCACCTGGATCCAGTTCTTCTCGCCATCCGCAGTCAGGCGAAGCTTCAAGCTGGCGCCGCCAGCGCTGATGTTCGCTCTGCAGAACCAGATCCTTTTTGTGGCGGTGCAGAATCTGGACCCGCCGGTGTTTCAGGCCCTGACTCAACTGAAGATTCTCTTCGCTGGAGTTTTCAGTTACGTGCTGCTGAACAAGCGGCTGTCTCAGGTGCAATGGGTGGCTCTGCTGCTTCTGGCGAGTGGGGCGGCACTCGTGCAGGTAGAGGCATCGATGTGCAAGGCCATGAGCAACAAGAACGAGGACGCCGACCCGTTCAAGGGGCTCGTGGCGGTGATCACCATGTCCGTGATGTCTGGCCTCGCGGGCTGCTACACGGAGAAGATGCTGAAGACGGAAAAGCTCCCCATGTGGCTGCAGAGCGCGGAGGTGGCCGGTTTCAGCATCCTCGTGCTCACGTTCATGTGTATGTGGTCGCGCGTCAGCATGATCAGCTTGGACATGAACGTCCTGGACAGCAAGCGGACCGACACCATCATGGACAGCCTCATGAAGGGGTTCGTTCCGCTGACGTGGGTCGTCGTCGTCGTGATGTCCCTGGGGGGCCTCATAGTGGTCGCCGCGCTGCGATACGCCGACAACGTGATGAAAGGCATGTCTGTCGTGGCCTCGCTTGTCTTGAGCGGCATGTGGTCGGCGCTGGCATTTGGCACATCCCTGAGTGCAATCTTCGTCCTCGCCACCGTCGTCATCTGCGCTGCCATGTTCCTGTACCAGGCAGCGCCTTCTGTGGCCACAGCGGACACGGCTCAGAACCACGCGTTCCTGCGGGCCATCTCGCGGACAGCGCTGTCGCCCGGCAAGAGGGCGGCCGAGAGCGACGAGGAGACTCCGGAGGAGCCCCTGAAGGCCGAGACGATGATCTCGAAGGGAGGCCAGTGAGCTGCCGCCGGCCTCCGTGGAGCGCCCGTGCCGAACGCGTGGCGACGGGGCCCGTGGTGTTCCGCTGGTGTGCTGAGTGCGGGTGTGGTCCACGAGTTGTGTTACTGAGCAAAAGGAAAGTGCCGGAATGGTCTTCAACCGCGATTGCGGAGGATCGGGATGACATGAGCTTCGGCGGCGAGCGAGGGGGGGAAGTGAGAAGGAGACGGCCTTCTCAGAAGGTTCGGAAGTCCCCCAGCCTTCTGAGAAGGTTTCTAAGCCTTCCCCGGAAGGCGCGAGGGCTTCTGTGAAGTCCCGCCGTCTTCTGAGAATCAGATTTTCTCCTTCTCATTTCCCCCCCTCGCTCGCCGCCGAGGGATGATCGAATCACGTGGCACCGCCCACGGCACAGCGACCCGATGGAATCGATCCCCAAGATGGTGGCACACGGTCAGACAGAACGCTTGTCATAGTCGGTCTTCGTGTGCAGACATGCACATGCAGAAGAGGCCGTACGCAGACAGAGCACACACCCAATCTACGCTGCACCTTCCACGCCCACTCCAGAGACTCAACACCACATCGGCTGGCATCGGATGGCGGCTGATGTGTGCAGCGTTTGTCAGTATCGCCCCTACTCGCGTTCTGCTGATATCCAGTGGGAGTGGTCTCCACGATGCCAGAGACCAGCCATGCCGCCTTGTCCACCGACCAGCCGAAGCAGGTTCACCGATCCCGCTCGGCCTCTGCTCCTCCCGTGCCTCGGCGCAGACCGGCCTGCCCTCGAACTGGGCCACACGACGTCCGTGCAGCTTCCATGCGGCCGCCGCCTGACAGGACCCCGGCGAGATAGGGCTGGTTGGAGAAGAAGCAATTCCGAGGCGGGAATGTATACGTCACTCCCGACCTGCCTCCCTCCCTCGGAGGGTGCCAGAGGCTTCTGTGGGGCACCTGCCGGCGGGCCCGTCTCCCGGTGCGGCGTGCGACCGGAAGACGTGGGCTCTCAGAAGTCCGCGCGGGCTTCGGGCCCTCGCCCCGCATCAGATCGTTCCAGAGCCGTCCCAGAGCGGGGGAACAGGAGGAGGAGGAGGAGGAGGAGGAGGAGGAGGAGGAGGAGGA